TTCTTGTCGATATTGTTCTTTCCGAGCTTTGTCCTGGGCCGAACGGCGAGAAAACGCTCTTCATCGGCGGTCTCGTAGCCTTTTTCGCACCCGGTGTCGAGGGAAAGCGCGCGAGAGACGGGGAGAGTGGGAGATGAAGTGGGCTTTTGGGCTTTGTTTACACTGGCTCGCGGTGGGGGGACGAGGCCGTCGCGGCGCTTTTCAAGGCTTGGGGCGGCGAGAACACGACCCGAGTGGGCCAAAGAGCTATTTTCCGGTGGTCGAACGCTTCCCCGAACCATCCAACGACCCTCGAGTGCACCATGACCCGGAGGAGGGGCGCTAGGGAGGCAGAAATAGGCTGTGGTTGGTGACAGGACGAGGGCGGAGGCAAGGGTCGTGTCCCCGAACTCTTATCGGAAAAGGTGATTTTATCGGGCGTTTTATCGTTCTCCTCATCGGTCTGGGCGAGCTGTTGCACGAGGACGACTTAGGGATTCCGAATTGCAACAGGCCCGGCGGGAGGAACGCGTATATAGGCCTAGATTCGTGCGAGGAAGGAGGCGGGGCGTGATAGGCCTAGGCGCGGGCAGGACCTTCCCGCTCGAGGATTTTTTTAGGCCTTCGAGGAGCACTTGGTCGTCCTCGGCGCTTGGCTTCGTGAGTGATTACGTGCTTACTCTGTACGTGTGGGCTGGGCTGTGCGTGATTCTTGTGGGGCTGATTTCTTCCGGAGGCCTAAGCTGGAGATGAGCTATGGGGTCTGTGGAAGTTCAACTTATTCAGCGTGGAAACTCGACTCTGTGAATGAGTGTTTGGTTGTATTTTATTATTTGTATTATTTTATTATCTCTGAAAAGAAAAAAAGTCTGATTTAGGCCTACTTGGAGGACACATAGGCCTAGGCTGAGTGTGAACTTTGGGGTTATTTGAAGTATACTTGGTTTTGCGTAGACTCGATTGGGAATGGCCTCGCCCGTGCATTTGCCATTTTCTGCATATGAATGAATCTGGGCAGGGTTGCATCATTGCATCAAACTTTCAATTTTGTAATTTATGTATTTACTACTTAGTATTTTATTTCACTAATATTGCAGTGGCTTATTTTTTATGATGGGTCACGTATTGTATAGTAGAAGTAGTAAGTAAAATACAAGGGGTTAACTTAGTATTAGTGTATTCCTAATTTTTTCCTACAATTGGCCTTGGGGGAAACGCTTCAAGATTATCACGTTTTTGCATGGGTTGTTTGGTAGTGGATCGTTAGTGCAAACATTTGCATACACTTACAACAGATAATTTTTGAAAAGGAGGTATAATGAAAATGGTGCCATGGCCTTAGCAATTTGCTCTTTTTCAAAGGTGAATGTACCTTCCGAGATAGATCTTTGAGGAATTCCTTATTGGATGGAGAATGCCTGGGGAGGTGGACAGACTATATTTTGCCAGATTATGCTTGGCAGGGATTTCTTTGCCTTTGCTGGAGTCTGAAGAGCAGAGGAGATGGTATCGCTGTTCTTGGCCATGCTTACATTAGCTCATGGTAAGCGATTGTGCCTTTATCTCTGCCACAGATGATATTCAGTACCCAGCTGTGGGGTTTTATGTATTCATAAAGGTTACTAGCTTCAATCATCTCATTGTGCACTTCTGATCTGGACACTAATAGATAAAGGGAAATATAATAGGCCACTATAGTTATTTCGCAATTGCTTTAGCAATTTCTTCAAATCGTTTTACTGTTTTTTTTTTTATTGGATTTATTAGTAATGTATTAGTGCCCTTTGGGCACTGTCCGATTGGAGGGAAGCATTGTTTTCACTACGATGTGTGACGAGAGCTAAAACTCAGAATTTTAGCTCGGAAGTACTGAGGGACTTTTGATATGAGCAACTCTTTCCGCGATATGTTTCCTTTATTTGTGGAGTTACTGTTCAAACCTTTAGATTATATATTGTGTCAACTACTGCAACTTTTAGTCCTCTTCAAGAATGTTATCTTTATTTTGCCTTAGTTTAGTGTGTTCATACCATAAAGATTAACCACTTTGTGTAAGTATGCATATGTGAAGTACAGGTGTGATGTTCGTACTTGGAGATGATTTTACTTGTTTTGTTTAATTAAACATACTTTTATCTTTTGCATTTCTAAACATGCATATATCAGTAGGTACGTAATCAATATATTTTTGAACTCCAAGTAATTGTTTATAAGGCATTTACAATGAGCTTCAAAAATTAGAGTTGTTTCCATGATTATGTTGGCTATGGTTTATCCATGTATATTTGTATCTTTGACATGTGATTGGAAGGCTTACTAGTGGTGCCCTACCAGTGTGAGTCAGTTACCACAGTCCCCATGCATTGCCCCTCAACAAAGCCAAACAAAGCCCCCCCCCTTATATTCTAGCAAGATAAAGTATGGATTCATATTTTTTCATCCATGTTTGTTACCACTGTCATTCATATTGAGGATAGTCATAAAGGGAAAACTCCAAAACTCTTTCTTGTCTAATACACAGTAGAAGTTTGTGCCATTTTATTAATGGCGTAAATTGAAATAGCTCTAACTTACATCACAGTATTAGAATCCATCAGTCTATTAGATTCATGTATTGTATACCTTGTACTACATGTATGTCCAGAAATGTAATTTTTCCAAAGTTTTTTATGGAAAGGAGTATTACCCATCCCAGTGATGAATGGTGATGTGATGATATCTGCCTTTGCCCTGCTGTTTCCAAGTTAATCGGACCTCTCAACAAGGAGGTACAAGATTGCAGCGGTGAACATTACACATGTGATTCAGTGTCTTGTTCATGTTATCTAGAATATATAATTTTCAGGCTTAATTCTGTTAGGAAAGTAGTTGCAACAGGTCAGGTAACTGCAGTGGCCTTTAGGCAGAACTTCCAGTAATTGAAGAATTTACATCAATTTGAAATGATTAGTATTCATAAAGATATGTTTGTTACATTAAATAAGTGTTGTGTATTAAAACTTTTTTATCAAGAGGTTGAAACAATGGACTCGGGAATTTTTTTTCTGTGTAACATACTTTCAAGAGCTTGTTTTAAGACGGGACAAAGGAAGTTCTCCGAGTTTTGTTAGAAGATGGATGGGTGTGTAGGTGGAAGAGCAGGTGAACAAGTGTGTGGGTGGTTGAGTGTGTGGTGGTTAGGTGAATGAATGGATGGGTGGATGGTTAGGTGGTTGGGTGGTTGCATGAATGAGAGTGCGGGTAGAAAGAAAGAGAAGATACTCTTGTATTCAAATTCAGAAAAGGGAAGTAAATGGGAAAGAAAAACAAAGGATAATGAATAACTTAAAGAAGACCAAAGAATTTAGTTGATTCATAACAAAAAAAGAAAGAAAGAAAAACATGCGTGATATGACGAATATATAATCCCAGGGAAGAGATAAGTTGCAGTGTTATTTATAGTAGTTCTTGGTAGCTATGTAGGAAGGAAATTCACTTACATAACCTCGATCATTTAATCATTTGTATTTGAAATCCACAAAAAGAAAATATTTTGTTTGTCAATTACAAAAAACAATTGCAGTGTTGTCGGTGCTCTGTTAAATGGAAAGCGTCAGTTTTGTGAGATCCCATTAAACCAATAGTTTGAGAAAAATATTTACTTTTATTAAATGTATCATCAGTATGAATTTTCATGCTGCAGCTGATAGTATTTGTGAATACCTTTATCATTTACAGCCTTTTGAAACTGTTTCTCTGTAACACATTAGTAGTTGTGTAGTTTCTAGGTGCTAAGGACAATGGAATAGTAAAGTTAAAGACAAATTATTGAAGAAAGTTATAGAATGAGACCAAAATTTGTACTGAAAGTAAGATTACCGAAGGAACTCCCGCAATGATTATCACATATGATATGATTGTTGGAATCCATTTGAAATAAATAGCAGTATTGAGCTCAGAGCATTGATAAGAATTTTTAATAAAGATTTTTGTGTTGAAATGAATTAACACCATCTGTGCAAGTACACTTTGCTGGGCCTTCATTTACCAGATCCCAGAGGCAGTGATACTCAGTTAATCCACAGTGATAGAATGTTTATATTTTGTAAACATATTTCTAATGTACACTTATGAAAGTATTCAACTGCTGAACCCTAATTTTAGGAAGAAAGCTTGTAACTATGTAACTAATTGGTGCCAAGCTGCATATGTTTCTAAAAGAATTTGTAGCTGTATGAGCTATGATCTCTGTAAACAGAAGCACTTCTTTACCACCCTTTTTGAATACTTGCTATATTTGGGCATCCGTTCATTGGGTAAAATAATCAGTAGTGCCATTGGGGAATTTTCAGGGTATTTCTATTATATATATATCAAACTCTTAAAAATGTGAAGGGAATGGGGGGGAATATTTTCACTATGTATGAGGAAATGGGCCAGCATTTTTTTTTTTTTTTTTAGATCAGTGTTACATTCTTTTCTCTTCCTGCACTCTTTTTCACTTGCTGTTTATATTGAAAGCATTACAAAGAAACTCTTGTTATAAATGGGGCTTGCCTAAGTTTGCTTTGAAAATATCTAAAAAGCAAGAATTATGCATTGTCATTGACTAGGGAGATGTTATTCAGAGTTTCATCCTGGAGCAAATTCTATTCTAAACACACAAGTTTTTCCTATGACTATCAATTTATTTATTTATTTTTTTTCTATGATTGTAAAAGATGAACCAAACTTGCTTCTTAGTAAATACACAAGACTGATACACTACAAGTACTTAGAATAGTTCTTTAAATACTGTGATGAGCATCGAATACCTGCTCGCTCAAATACATTCTCTCTCCAGTTTTACTCTCACTCGTGTACTACGTCATACTATTTTTGTTGTACCCCCTTCAAATTTTCCTTACACAAAGTAACTAATGTAAGTTTGAAATTGCAGTTAAATGTGCAGACTATTCAATAATCACACAATTTAATTTTTGTTTTTACTTATAGCAGCAGAAAGAGAGCACAGGACCAACGGGGAGTGAAAGTGACACAGGGGACGGAGAATTTGAGCCCACGGCAGAGATGCTAGTAGATGATTTCGATGATGAAAGAACGCTAGATGAAGAGGAGGATATGGAAGAGGGTAGTGATAGGGAGGAAGAGATCGATACCCTGCAGAAGGTGGGTGGCGTTGCTAACCTGCAGAAGGTGAGGGTGACCTGATTCTCCGGTAGAGGTACAGTTGTGGATGCTGAATAATGACTGTTCGCAAAGGATGACCCTGTGTAAACGTAAGGCTGGAACCGGGGTCAGGAATACTGTTGAAAAAAGAAGAATTTTATTGGATGGATATGGTTTGATACACTCATTCTGTTGGAAGATTCTGATATGGTAATTGCATATAAATGCTTACGTGCACATGCATTCACATACACTGTATATACCTTTAACCTTTTTCCTTTTCCTTTCCTTTTCCTTTTCCTTTCCTTTCCTTTTTCCTTTTTCCTTTTTCCTTTTTCCTTTTTCCTTTTTCCTTTTTCCTTTTTCCTCTCCCTTCCTCTCCCTTCCCCTCCCTTCCCCTCCCTTCCTCTCCCTTCCTCTCCTTTCCTCTCTTCTCTCCTCTCTTCTCTCCTCTCCTCTCTTCTCTCCTCTCCTCTCCTATCTTCTCTTCTCTTCTCTTCTCTTCTCTTCTCTTCTCTTCTCTTCTCTTCTCTTCTCTTCTCTCCTCTCCTCTCCTCTCCTCTCCTCTCCTCTCCTCTCCTCTCCTCTCCTCTCCTCTCCTCTTCTCTTCTCTTCTCTTCTCTTCTCTTCTCTTCTCTTCTCTTCTCTTCTCTTCTCTTCTCTTCTCTTCTCTTCTCTTCTCTCTAAAAAAAAGAACTCATTCATACAATTTATGTTTATGTACATATACGTGTATGTATGTATTATGTATATGTATGTATATATAATGTATATGTATATATAATGTATATGTATATATAATGTATATGTATATATAATGTATATGTATATATTATGTATATGTATATATTATGTATATGTATATATAGTATATATATGTATATATAGTATATATATGTATATATAGTATATATATGTATATATAGTATATATATGTATATTTATATATATATGTATATTTATATATATATGTATATTTATATATATATATGTATATTTATATATATATATATGTATATTTATATATATATATGTATATTTATATATATATGTATATTTATATATAGTATATATATGTCTATGTATATATAGTATATATAGTATATATATATGTCTATGTATGTATAGTATATATATATGTCTATGTATGTATAGTATATATATATGTCTATGTATGTATAGTATATATATATGTCTATGTATATATAGTATATATAGTATATATATATGTCTATGTATATATAGTATATATAGTATATATATATGTCTATGTATGTATAGTATATATATATGTCTATGTATGTATAGTATATATATATGTCTATGTATATATAGTATATATATGTCTATGTATATATAGTATATATAGTATATATATATGTCTATGTATATATAGTACATATAGTATATATATGTCTATGTATATATAGTATATATAGTATATATATATGTCTATGTATGTATAGTATATATATATGTCTATGTATATATAGTATATATATATGTCTATGTATATATAGTATATATATATGTCTATGTATATATAGTATATATATGTCTATGTATATATAGTATACATAGTATATATATGTCTATGTATATATAGTATACATAGTATATATATGTCTATGTATATATAGTATATATATTACATATATGTCTATGTATATATAGTATATATATTACATATATGTCTATGTATATATAGTATATATATTACATATATGTCTATGTATATATAGTATATATATTACATATATATCTATGTATATATAGTATATATATAACATATATGTCTATGTATATATAGTATATATATAACATATATGTCTATGTATATATAGTATATATATTACATATATGTCTATGTATATATAGTATATATATTACATATATGTCTATGTATATATAGTATATATATTACATATATGTCTATGTATATATGGTATATATATTACATATATGTCTATGTATATATAGTATATATATTATATATATGTATATGTATATATAGTATATATATTATATATGTGTATATGTATATATAGTATATATATTATATATATATGTATATGTATATATAGTATATATATAATATATATGTATATGTATATATAGTATATATATAATATATATGTATATGTATATATAGTATATATATTATATATATGTATATGTATATATAGTATATATGCATATACATAGTGTATATATGTATATATATAGTGTATATATGTATATATATAGTGTATATATGTATATATATAGTGTATATATGTATATATATAGTGTATATATGTATATATATAGTGTATATATGTATATATATAGTGTATATATGTGTATATATGTATATATATAGTGTATATATGT